TATCCATGCATTCTGACCACTCTTGGCCTTTGTATTTATATAAATATGAGTCATTCTTTCCACCCACCAGATGTCATCAATTTGCCGTGTTCTATGTAAGTAAACAAAGAGCACTCAGATGAGAACAGGCAGAGGCTGTTTATTCAGAGGTGGCTACAGCAAGGGAGTCAGCCACCATCGCTTGTGTGTTGCCGCAGATTCAAAGGCAGGCGAAGGAGTGGGAAAGTTTGATGGTGGAAGAAAGGGAATGCTTCAGGTGTGCCCTGGTTGGATGCCGCTGGCATGGCAGCTGGGAATCCTGTGATGGGTTAGGGAGGGCATGTTTGGCTTTCTTTGGTTCATCCTAAGTTGGAAGTGGAGACCAAAGAAAATCAATTGTTAATCAAGTCCTGGTTGTTTGGGGCCAATTGTTACAGAGGTTATTGTTTGGCTTCCTGAATTGTTTGCTAGAAATAGCAGTCTGACCACCTGCGAGTCTGACTTATACAAAATAGCCTGGCTTCGTGGACTGGTTACTGTAAGTAATGGGTTGGTTTTCTGGGCTGGTTGCTGCAGACTGTGGGTCAGAGTTCTACTGTTTTGGTCAAAGGAAACTTATTCCATTTTCTTAACAAGTAATTGGCAGAAATTTGTAATTATGCAACATTCTTCAAAGAGTAGAGTCTCAAGTGAATTGTTACATTCAACGTTGGCCCTGTGCTGTGTGTCCTTGCTTGCGGGTATGAACTGGACAATAGGCTTTGACTTAAGAGGCACCTGTGATACAACAATGAAATCTAGAGTTGGAGATAGTCTTTCTGAATTGTGTAATGTCAATGTAGATAATGTTAGAAAACACATTTACCAGAATCCCTTCCCTTTCTGCTTCCACATTTGAACTTACCAATAGCTCACTTGCATGAGATTTAGAGGGGAGAAATGAAGAGGTCGTTACTGTTGTTAAGGTCCCAATAAACGGGAGGTGGTTGGGGGGCTGGCCTGTAGGGCACTTACCTCCAACTCCTTAATGTAAGTTGAAGTCCTCAAGGCCTCCCCACCGATGGATGATGGGGGCTAGAAGAGATGAGAGCACACATGGAGATGCTCTGCCCATCAATGGCTAAGCCCTCTGCTGTCCTTTTTTCCTAACCAGGACCAGGCCCTCCTCCTGTAGCCCCTCTGTGCCCCCTTCTCAAGGTCTCACTTCTCCCTCATCCCTCCCCCCCCAAGCAGCTCTTATCCTGCACTTTTTTTTTTTTTTTTTTTTGGTGGTGGCCAGTACAGGGATTGAGCCCTGGGCCTTGGTGTTATCAACATCGTCCTGTGCTTTCCTGCA